TGGATTCGGAACTGTTCCAGATGATGTACGTAGCACTGGTGCATGCTTGTTGTGTTTTTCTATAAGATTACTGATTTACATATTCATGATTAACACTCATCTGGGCTTTTTGCGACACATGAGAAAAGATGAACAAGGATCAATACTGTTGATGTAAGTTTCCAGCATTAGCCAGTAACTAGCTGCTATACATTTTTTTAAAAGCATTTAGACATTGTTGGCGTGTGCGGGACCTTTTGGTGATCATTTTCATGACAAGAGAGCCAAAAGACACAACTCTCAGTATGATGCAGTCTTTCGAGGAGTCTTTAGTGGAATATGTCCAAACGGACTTGGAACAAATATGGTACATTCTTCTAATCGACTACAACAAAAAAGAACCCATTCCAAATGCATGGGTTGTGTGTGTGCCTGGATTAAAACAAATCAATTCTCTTTCTTTTGCCCCTTGGGTGTCGATATAAATTACCCGTACTTGAAAGCACACCTGATTACATTTTGTTTTCTCTTGCACACACACACACACACACACACACACACACACACACACACACACACACACACACAGCATTATCAATTTTGGTTCAACTACAGGAAATTCTAATCGCACAAATGCAATTAAGGTTTAAATTAATAGTCCTTCAAATCGGAGCATTATTATCTTTGCAAAGACAGACTGTTTGATACAGCGCTTCTGTTTGAATCTAATTAGATTGTGCAAGTGGTCATGATGTTGTGGCCAGCTGGTAAATATATATGCTATAGTTCATTACCTTCACATGCACACGGTGAAGGTTACACATGCAGATAAAATGCAGGCTGACACAAGAGCAGACATCCTGTCAGCCACGGAGCATCTCTCCCCCTTGCCCCTCTCTCCTCCATCCTTTCATCCTTTACTCATCTGCCTCCCTCCATCCACTGCCATGCATGCTTGCCCAGCCTCCTCTGCTGACCCACACCTCTCTGAAATTGACATGAGCTCTCATTCAGTCCGAACACTCTATCACTCGATGCTAATCTTTTTCTCGCGCGGTGTTCAAATTTACAGTGAATTGGCCAAACCAGTCGTCACAGATCGAACGGTGCATATGCAATGAGGTTTTGAGACGTTGCTGAGAAGCTGCATTTGGATCATGCTCACAATGTGCCCCTTTGGTGGGACACGCTGAGACATCTCTATCTGGAAAAGCCTTTGGGACACTTATCACATGAACATGAATATTTCACCGCTCATCTCACACTTGCTTACTACTGACCCATGGAGCTTCATGGTAGCCAAGCTGGGCATCACATCACACCCATCTAATGGCTTGCCTTGCTGAAAAACGGGTCACAAATGGAGGTGCTATGGAGTCCATCCCTGTACAATCAAAACTAATATAATCGACATCAGTTTTGGAATGTAAGGTTAGATGCTCTCGGGGTTCCCTAAGACATGTCTGTGGGTACCCCAAAATGAAATATACTGCATATACTGTATAATCAACTTTTTTTTATTTGTATTTGTTGATATTGGAGTGTTTAGTCTGCTATCGCAAATGCTATTCAGGCTGTTAGGGAGCCTGGACATAAATTAAACCGTCTGCCCATGACGGCAAGGGTATAAAATGCATCGAGACTTTTTCAACACAAGCCCTGAAAGAGCAATGGTGTATATTTTTATGAGCGGGCAGATAAACCTCTGCTGTCATGCCATTGCATCGATCTCCGTACATGTGCATGTGTAGAAGGGGGGGGGGGGGTACAGAGAGCGGGGCGGGGTGCATCCTGACATCTTCTGTCCATATCTTACCGTCAATCCTCCTCCTCCTTCTTCTCCTCCTCCTCCTCGCTCACTGCGTCTCCATCCTCCTGCTTCTCTGCTCCCTCCACTACACTGCCCGTTACATGAAAACCAATGCCCTCTTCTTGGCAGTGGTGATGGCGGGTGATACAGCAGACAGTGAAGCAGTCATTAGGGGTCCAACAACAACTGGGCGCCCCCGCCTCCTCCTCCTCCTCCTCTTCCTCCCTCCTCCAGTAATGAGGGCTCTCTGCTGGACCTCCGTCCACTCGATGACGTCCCCGACTCTCCGCTGCACTGTGCGTCACGTTGGTACCCTCATTCCCACGGCGTTCATGGCCACGGACGTCACGGGCTGTTGGCCTTGTTGTAGATAGGTCCGATCGGCTTTGCGGGAAGAAAATAGACGACCAAAGATAAACGTGAGCCGCAGACCGCGTGCGGACCTCTTTCGACGTCTACACTTCACCGAAGCCCGTTGTTGTTGTTGTCATGACTGCGCATCTTCCTCCGACATTGTTGCAACACATTCTTCTTTGCACTTATCGCCAAATCGCGTCGAAGTGAAAAGGCATCATCACGACGAATTGTGTTCAGTCGCGACACCAAGGGCGGATGCCGTATGCTTTCTATTTAAAAAAAAACAAAATGTGCCAATTTCGTCAAATTAAACGCTCCTGCGTTTCTAAAAACACATACACACACACACCCAGATACATTAACAGCTGGACCGTCAGAAGCTATGTTTTCCCGCTTCTGGCATCGCCTTGCGTCCGTCCTCTGTTCTCCGAGTGCGCGCTCTCGCTTCATCCGCTGGTCCGCTTGTTGCGCGTTCTGTGCTCGGGAGCGTGCAACGCCTGCCTGTGGTCGTGCGCGTGTATTTCCGCGCGCGCGCTTGTGTGAGTGTGTGCGCGTGTGTGTCTGTCTGTGTGTGTGTGTGTGTGTGTGTGTGTGTGTGCGCGCGTGTCGGGTAAGTGCGCTTGTGTGTGTGTGTGTGTGTGTGTGTGTGTGTGTGTGTGTGTGTGTGTGTGTGTGTGTGTGTGTGCGCGCGTGCGCGCGTGTGCGCCCAGTACATGGGGAGTGGATGCTTCCATCATGTTCTATAAGGTCTGTTTGACCAAGCAACAAGCTGTGTATCCAATAAATCGTCATGAAAAACAGAACGAGTTTTAGGGAATGATTTGTTGCTATTTCAGAGGTTATGAAACATGTATTTCGTCATCATTAAACCATTTTGCTATCTACCAGGGACGTCTGCTGCAGTGGTTCTATAATCTGTTCCACCCAATACCAGCTCAAATAATCATTGGCTCTCCAAGTGCCACCATTATGAGCAATAACAATATATGGCAGCACAGTAACCCGATAGCCTTTTACTACTGTAGCAGTTCTACCCCCTAACCAAGTTTGTCCTCCGTGGTCGCGAGTGTGAGCGAAGGTAGCGAATGTTGAGTTCCCTTCAGGGTTCGTCAAGGTCCGAAAACAGCTGGGATAGGCTCCAGCACGCACTGTGACCCTTGTGAGGATAAGCTGATCAGAATATGGATGGATGGGTGGATAGTTTCAATATCATTCTGCCATCTTCATCAGGAGCTTCAAACTCAGGACCTCACAATTGTGAGGAATACGTGCTAACCACTAGTTACTGCGCTGCCCTTATTCCAATCAATAAACCAATAGTTAAAACTACAAAGACCCCACCGCCTTCCTCAGATGGCAACAACATTGCTAAGAGGTGAGGGGCATTGTGTTTGCACTCATCAATGGTGTAAAAGCAACAATCACAGATGGTTTCAAGGATGGAAATGAGGGCAATTCACCCTGTGACTCTTGCCTTTGCACACATATTTTAGTTTCCTGCAATCATGATTACAACACGCAGGCATTAATGGCAGCGTAGCGATCCTCAGAAGTGAGAGGAAGGTGAAAAACATTTCAGAATTGAGAGATCAAGAACTGTTGCAAAGCAATGTGAAGATCCTGTCGGATCACATAAAAGCACCACTGCATCATCACCATCATCATTGGTGTGGAAACATGAAGTCCTGAGCATGAAGGAAGATGTGTCACATTCAAAGGAAATCACTAATTATGTGAAAGTCACAGACAAGAGACTCAGAGTAAGCCTGATTGCCTCTTGTGCAGCCCAAAAAGAGGAGCCAGACTCCATCGGCTAAACATACAAGCACAACATTCACCGACAAAATTATCCTAATGGCGCTGAATAATTCATCGGCGTCTCAGATCTGAGAATAAACATGACATGTTTTGATTGGATGATGCAAATGGCTCGCTTTATACTTCAACCTGATTCTTCTTACCGCTTCCGCATTTACGGCTACACAACCTGCAACGGGAAGACTTTGCTCACAAGCAACAAGGCATCCAATCTCAAATTAGCGTTGGTTCATCTTATTGTTTGTTAAGTTACTTTTAATTGGTAGCTCGCAAATCAATACTCACTCTTGTTAGTAGAGAGCGCCAAGCCATTTCTGTAATAAGAAAGCAATGTAATTACACTCATCAGAACGGCATTCCGACGACATCAATAGAAGACTGTATCTTTGGACAGACACGGGTTTGTTTGTATGCGGGAGGGGGCGTTGTTGTGGGTGGCACCAGTTGTAACTTCTGACAGAAAGCATTTAATCACTTACAAGCGCACAGTAGTGAGGCCAGACAATAATGCCAAGACAGAGTGGCTGGAGTCCTCCTTCCTTGCTTTGGAACTACTGTAATACGACATGAGCGAGCCCGAGCAGGATACACGAACAATCGGGCCAAATTTGAGCATGGGAAACCTCACGATCAAAATGCGTAAAGACCTGATTCTCAAATGTTCATCCATCCATCCATATTCTGATCCGCTAAACCTCACAATACATCTACAGCAGAAGGCACCACAAACCTTGTTTCCACCTGTTGCTATTCTTACAACAGAGAAGCTCACGTCTCCCTACGATCTAGATCAGGTTCATTCTTTTACTACAGTATTCTTATTTTTTGTGACATTTCTTTTTCGCCATGTGCCATTAGATTTTTCTCATGTAAATAAGGGTTGGGGAAACACGGATATAATGCAATTCCAGAGACTCCATTTTACCTGCGGTTTGGTTGAATTCACAATGGAATGAGATTTGGCCGCAGGCTGCAGGGAGGTGATATGAATTGCAGCAGGGGCACAATACAATCATGAATAAAAATGTGGACAAAGCAATATAGCCAGAATGTCTTTATTTTTAATTACGCTACACCGGAAACAATCCATTTCGCCAGTGAAAGAATTCAATGCAATTTTATCTCAAATTACACACTGCACGCGACACAGTTTTGTGTCCATTTGTCGACAATTATAATGATGCATCAGGGCATACAGGGAAATTATTGTCCATAATGCAAACTTGGTCTTGACCAATTTCTCCGAAAAGACATCAGCTGATCTGATGGTAATACTGTGGCTGACTACAATAAATTGTAGAATGATAGACTCAAAGTTTATTTTTTCTATCATCCTTCTGAAAGACCATAAATCTGACAAAAGCGGCAGCTTTTCAGAAATATTCTCACTCAATATTTTGTTGGTATTGTCCTCATCACCATGGTGACCATCCTCCCTGTCCATCCACATTTGCATGATCTCCAACTACACCCGGCATTTTTTTCTTGTTCCTTTTCTTCTCGTCCTCCACCTTGTACTTGTGTCTTCTCACGGGGTCAGTGAAGCTACATATGGACTTCTCTTGAAAGTCCTCAGTGATCATGAAGTTCCTGTCGATGAGCTCTGCCGCTTCCTGCCAGTTGCGGTAGCAGGCCGGACCGAGGCGGATGATCTCATCTACTGCGTTTGGGGTGAGGACAGAGCAATTGGGACGTAGGACCACTACTGTGGGAAGCTCCTTGATGTTAAACATTTCCTCCAGCTCCCTGTGGACACGAGTCAATGTCGATTTAGCCAGCTGAGCATGTTTATATACTGTATTATAATCGTCTTAACCAGCAGGATGTGTAGGCAGCTTGTACCACGCACCTCCTGTAGGGGTCCTCATAGGCGAGGAACAGGCACTTTTTGGGCAGCTGTTTGAGGAAGTCCGACTGAAGTTCTTCCGATTGGTCCAAACTTACATGTTACACAAAAAAACGTCTTTGTTCATGAAGTCATCTAAATACATTAATAAATGTATGCAGGAAGAAAATGACCGATGGGAGATAAATAATTTGATGGGTGACTTGGTGGATGGAAGTCATTGATGGTGTCGTGTGCGGTATTATTCACTCCAGGCAGCGTGTGTTCATTTGCCACTCTGCCCCCCTGGAAGTGAGACACTAGGGAAGAAAATCAGTTGTCAAATGTCATGGCCGTGATGGTGTGAGTGTCAATAGTTGTTCGTCACAGTATGTGTCTTGCATTTGACTGGCAGCCAGTCCAGGGTGTAGTCTGCCTTTGAACAAAGTCAGCTAGGATAGGCTTCAGGTCTCCGTGACCCCGAACAGGACAAGCGGTATAGAAAATGCATGTAAGGATGTAATTGTGGCCGGTTGGCTGATTGATTGATTGATTGATTGATTGATTGATTGATTGATTGATCGATTGATTGATTGATTGATTGATTGATTAAATGGAAGGATGGCTGGAGGCCTCTCCTGCGTGGACTGCGTATGTCAGTCTCCATCAAGGGTCACTATTTCCAGTCTTCAAGGGCCCAGATTATGTATGTTTTTTTTTTTTCCCTCCTTCAACACACCAGATTCAAATGATCAGGAACATTATCACACTTCCGAAGAGCTTGCTGATTAACTAATCATTTGAATCTGGAGTGTTGAAGTTGAGAGGGATCTAAAACAGGCAGGAGGATATGGCTCTCGAGGAACCGGAGCTCCAACTCAGGTGAGACACTGATGAGGACACACAGTACAGAAAGAGGGATGGATGGATTTCTAGTTATGAAGCCTTGCAAATGCACACATGTACAGTATGCTCAAGGAGAGGAAGAAAACAGATGTCAAATGTCACTTGTCAATTGGCAAATAGGGAGATCAGCAACATTCATAATTTTCCCTTTGCAAGCATACAGTGGGGTTATTGTATGTGATCTATGCATACCACCGTCTTGAATGTATCTTATGGTAATGAACTGTTGTGCACGCTCATGGGGGTTGGCAATCTTGTACAGTCTGTGTATGCTGTACCTGATGTACAGGAGGACCAGCTGAGCAGAGCGATCCACATAGAACTCATCTGTCAAGCGTGTGAAGAAGTCACTGAGTTTGGGTGCAAACTGTCGACATCTGTCACATGCAGTAGAAGCAAAGAAAAGCATCAGGATGCGGTTCTGCAGGCGAATGGCAATCTCATGTTCAGTGTCCAGCTCATCCTGGTCTCTGTTATTCTTCACCAGGACCCGATCGACGAACAGGTCCACCATCATGAACTGTCTCGGGACGGTGCGTTGAAGCTATAGAAAATGTATGGGTGTTTGCTTTATTAGTAACATGAAAAGAATTCAACACAGCACAAGGCAAAGGGGAAATGCAGCGACAGGTGGCTGTGGTTTATAGATCAATGCCGGTCTTTGAAATGAACTAATGAGTCTCCTCGCTGTCATTCTCATACCGCTCCCATTAATCACACGAGCACATCTCGCTAGCTGTTAAATCTGATAATCCTCATTCTTGCGTACCTCTATCTCACACTAGCAAATCCAAAAAGGGAACAGACTACGCCCCGCACCCTTATCTCCGCTTTCGAGTTGTACTTGAATCATGATCAAATTTGTCTCTTCAAATCACCTTCTCTCACCAACTGTGTCTCCTCACCTTGATTGCTGTTCACTCCTATTTCCTTTTTGCATGTCTGTCTGCGCTCCACCTCCTCTCTTGTGTCTGGAAGGGTGGGGTGAGATAAGGGGACAAAGGGGCACAATGTGTGCGCATGAGTGTGGTGTAGATATACGCTTGTAGTCGTGTGTGTGTGTGTGTGTGTGTGTGTGTGTGTGTGTGTGTGTGTGTGTGTGTGTGTGTGTGTTGTGAGGGGTGGGGGGGGGTTACACACAAGCATAGAATGCAAACCAGCAAGACCCAAACATGCACCAGCCCCAAAAACATTAACATTCACCCAAAGCAAAAGTAATTCGTTGTTTTGTATCATCCAACTTGAGTACTCAATCATACCACAAAAATAACAACAGTAAAAGGAGGCACCAAGAACAATTAACTGTTAAAAAAAGGACCCTGTAAAGTGAAAAAAAGTCCATCCACAGTGTTGTTAACAGGTTTGACAAATTTGAATGAATAAAAATAATAATAATAATAATAAATGAGGCTCCAAAACTGAGCTCTCCTCTCAGCTGTGCAATACGATGGCCATTGCCCCTAAATGCGCGAAAAACGGGCCCTTCTTGTCCTTCACCTGTCAATCAAATACAACATGCCTGGAACTGAAGTGTCTCTGATTCGTGGACCCACACACCAACATGGTTGAGGGGGCAATGTCCTGGACAAGCCCCGTTGTCTGCTTCTTAGCTTGTGAACTAACAGGCAAATGAGTTTGTTAAATTGTGGGCTCCCAAACAGTGACGTTTTCCTGAAGTGTCTCTGTTGTGTGGACCCATACGCAGAACATGGAGCAAGGGGGTGCTGAATGGGACACCCCCTTTCCCTGTGCAGAGGTTCACAAAACAGAGACACTATAGCTCAAATAACACACTTTTACACTTTAGAGAAGATGCATTTGTTAGTGCAGCTCCCCTGTAGCAGTCAAAAAGGGCCAAGTTATTATAACCATGTAACTTGAATTGCAGCAGACTAGTGCAGACCACTCGTGCAGAGGTAGGGAACTCCGGTTCCTCGAGAGCCTATCCTCCAACACACCTGATTCAATTGTTCAGGATCCCTTCAGGGCTCTACAGAGCTTATTGATGAGCTGATCATTTGAATGATGGTGCTCAGTACTCAGTATATACGGTAGTGTGGGAGGGCCAAGTCATGCCAGCCAGCAAGGATGCACTTCGGCTTGTTTTTAGCCCTCCCCAAAATGTATCAACAGAAATGGAATGAAATGTTTCTTCATTGCAACAATTAAGTTCAAAATTGGTATTCGATTTTTGGGCGTCTTTTTCATCACTTATTTCTTTCTATATACATGTAGGTAGAAAGAAAAAAAATTACAGGGTCTTTATCTGAGTATTATTTTTTTGTTTTTTGGACTTGTAGAAAAAAAGAAGAGAGTAACATAAAAAGTCAAATGGTAAAGGTTAAAGGTAATGTATTTATTTTTTCAATAAGTCCACTTTTTTGTTGTCCTTGCCTTTGTAATTTTTTAGATCTTCATAATCACTAGTTTTCCACATTGTGTTTGAACACTTGGAATATTGTGTAAATCAACTGTCCATTCATAAAGATGAATTTTATACTTTTTTTTGTATACTATCACAATGAATGATCAGTGATCAATATTCTTGGCAGGAATATAGGGCTGCAAAATCAGCTTTTGGTTAGGACACGACATAGACTTTGGCCCGCTCTGTTCATATTCAAGTTGAAACTTTCGTACTTCAGAACAGCATCTACAATACATTCTTAAAGGTGCACTTTGTATATTTGACTCATCATATAACACTGCACTCTACCAACAATAACAACAGTAAGTCCTTTTTAGTGCGTGATGGAGTCAAACCTCCGATCGTAGCATCAGCGCTTTCCTGCTCAATCTACAACTTACAAGCCGTACACACTCTTAGGCTTGAGCCGACTTTGTGAGCGAACGGTAGCTCAAGCTGAAACAAACACAGCCATACCAGCGAGCAGCATATTGTCAGTGGTCAATTACTAAGTCAGAAAATCAAACTGATGGTGAAGAAGGGAGCCAAAAATCAGTTGAAGGGCTCAGAAGAAACACACCAACCTCCGTTGTCATGATACACACAAGTAGCACTGCAGCAGAAAGATATATTTATTGGAAACCGTATGCATCTGAGTACACAAAAGTGACTATCAGAGGGAATTCTAATATTATGACTGGGTGAACTATTGTGTTTGTCAGTCGAACTGCAGGCTCAGGTTTAAGTGTGCTTCAGCTTGTCGGTTCACCTCCAGGAACTCCTGATACAGTGTGGATAAGATGTTCATGATAAGTTAATGCTGTGAAAGTACTTTTAGTACCTTTAAAACAATGTGTCTCAACCTTTACGGGGTCATGGCACAATAGAAATAATTTCACAGCACATCACCAAACAATAAATGGGTATATAGGTTAATTATGTACCTTCTGCTATCTAGTGGCTATCTATACACTATGTCACTACCATAGCTAGATAAACCAAATACATTATTTGTAGCAAAAAACTAAGAATTCCCACCAATTATCTGAAATTGGATAATTTCCCCTGGCACATCAGATCTCGAACAGTACACTAATGTGCCGCGGTACACTGGTTGGCAATTACTGCTTTAATGTACAGAAATGTATCATGTAAAAGAAGCTCATTTCTAATACACCCATATTTGGAAGTGATGATGATTCTACGGGTCCGCCACTGACAAGGCCCTCGGGAAATAATATTTTCAGCTTGCACCATTTGAAATGATGGGGCCCAAAGTGATTATTTTAGGCAGAGACCCAATTTTCCAGCAGCACTCCTGGTAGTCCCTTCAAAGTGTGACACACCGGAGAACAATATCAGCTCAAAATGGCAACTGTGGACTCTTGAAAAGCAGACCTTTCACTGCAACCATCTTTTGTTGGACATTTCTCAATAATCGTATGGATTGGTGTTGTTTTTAAGGAGTACAAATAAAAAGGAGAATCCTGGATAAGCTTTGCCTTCTCTAGAGAGAACACACACTTCTCTTCGGTCCTTCCTTTTGTCGTCTCCGTGTTCCTTTAAAGCCCTCCTCTCTCTTTGTATTCCACAATTTCACTTTCTTCATTGCCAGCTTTCCCTCCACCCCACAACCTCCACCATCTTTTTTTCCTCTTGTCCTCCTCCGTCTTATATTTGAGCCTCCTCACGGGGTCGGTGGCGCTGCGCATATTCAGGTTGTCAAACTCCTCGTTGAGCATGAAGCTTCTTTCAATCAGCTCTGATGATTCTTGCCAGTTGCGGAAACATTCAGAACCAAACTGATAAATGTCCTGTACAGCATTCTGAGACAGGACGGAGCCATCTGGACGAAGGACCACCACGGTCGGGACATCTTTCACCTTGAACTTGGCCTGGAGTTCCCTAAACATATGTGTATTTTTAACACCACAATCACAGTCATCACGGTCAATCACAATCAACATCACTACCATTCATTCCCCATCCAAAATACAGTTCCCCATATGGCGAGTTTGACATTTTGTTGTGCAGTTCGCATGCACATTTGGTATGCGTTTTCCCTTATATAGTAAATGAATATTAGAATTATTATACACATGGTTTGTCGCGATTTGTCTACCTCTCAAACTATCTATCAATCTAGGTCGCTAGCTAGCTACCGTAACTGGTAATCAAGCTAGCTAGCTAGCTAGCAGATAGATCATTTATATTTTATTTATGTTCTAATTATTTAATTATAGAATTCCAAAAGTAAACCAGTTGGCATTGTTCCGGTATGTTGTAATTGTGCATCCCCTATTAGTGTTGGAAATCTACTCTCATTTGACTGATGAGTCAATTAGAAAGTCCACAGTATAAAAATCCCGATAGTGTACAGTAAAAAGGGAGCAAGGAATGAGCAAATGATTCTGAACACAGCCCAAAAAATATATAAAAGTTCAACATGTGTAAATATTCAAAAATAAGATTCTCCTCTCCAACTCCCCGAACCCCAACACCCACCCTCTACTTACTTCCTGTACGGGTCCTCAAAGGCCAAAAACAGAACCTTTTTGTGCATCTCTTTAAGAAATCTTCCCTGCTGCTCCTCTGATTGGTCCAAGCTGCAAAGAGATGGAAGTAATCAAGTGAATACATATGAGTTCATCTTGTGTGGTGACATATAAACAAGCAAAGATGCTGGCAGATACCTGATGTAAATGAGCGCCAGCAATCTGGGATATTCAATGTAAGCTGGGTCTTTCAGTCGTTTAAAAAAGTCGTTGAGAACGGGCACAAACTCCCAGCATTTGTCGCACTCTGCGCATGCAAAGAGCAGCATGAGGATCCGGTTTTCCAGAATGCCAGTAATTTCCCGCTCAGTGTTGAGCTCATCCTGGTCCCAGTTGTTCTCCACCAGAACTCGGTTGAGGAAAAAGTCCACCATGATGGAACACAAGCAGAGAGGGGATGAAATGACGGGCAGAAGATCTCTCTGTGGGGAGAGCAAATTTATTGCTATAGTTGCAATGTATTGCACGGCGTCATGTCGCCTGTTATCATGACAATATCCAAAGTTAGATACATAAGTGTCATGTTATATAAAGTCATTATGTCGGATTTGAGTCCAGATACAGAATTCCCATAACATCAACAACAACATACACATAGTGGACACTGGTGCCCACCGAAAAAAACACAAATTGAAAAAGGCTTCGCCATTGGTTACTCATTCATTTTCTAACACTTTATAAAGCTCCAGTGAGCTGCAAGAAATCAAGCAAAGGAATATAAACTAAATAATTACCATATACTATACAGTAGTGAGTCACTTTGAGTTTCTCTTCTGAACACTGTGTGTGGTTGTCAATAGGAGTCTGAACTTAACAAATTGTGAGCAAGGGCTTTGTAACTCATTACTCATTTTGGATTTTTATAGCATCAATATTATAATTTTTTTAAAAACACATTCAAATTCTTAAAATGGCTCATTGCAGTATTGTAAAAATGCAATTCATCATAGAGAGTGAAAAATATTGTTGCGCTTTCATGTTTCTTATACACCACTTCAGAATATGAACATACAAACGTAATCTAAATTCCATAATGCATCTCAGTATCAATAGGCTATCTTAAGAAAACTTTAAGGGTAAAATTGTTTCCTCTGCTCCTTGAATGCCACCCCAACGCCCCAAAGAAGAATCGAATGCAATGCTACTTATTGTTGCCATTGCAGCATACAGCACAGTATATATTAAATTTATGATACATAACGCTCTCCAGTATATAACAGGCCATGGCCCAGGTAGCCTTTTGGAATTGGGATTATGGTGTAGATGGATGAGACACCACACAAGAAATACTCGTCTGATGTTGAAATAAAGTTGGGGCCGGCGTCTCCGAAATGTACTTTATCTGTCTCGGCCAGCCTGTATTGGAGTGTCGCAGGAGTCACTGCAGGCTGTGAATTGACAGTGATAACCTCACAAATTAGATTTGGCTCTCTGGCTTTCAGCTGATCTATTTGGGACTACAACTCCACACTGAAACATCCGAGGCTGATAGAGGAGAAATATGTTGGAAGCTGGACATTGCCTGGAAAAGGGGATTTACTGTAAGACTCGGAGAGGTCAGAGCTTAAACCCTACATTTGAAAAAGTAATTTTGCAATCATCCGGTTCACTTTTTGAAGCTCACCGATCCTGGTCTGACATACGAGCGCCACTGTCTTGTTTAGTTAATAGCTAATTTAATAGGCGATCAATCTTTGTACGTGTGGTGACAGCTGAATACAGCACAAGCAATTTACCTCACCTTGAAACTCCTTGTGTCAAATATATCCCAACTTTCTCCTCCGAGCCTTTGTGTTCATCTTTGATTTGTTGACTCTCCTCCTTGGCCTTGTTCTGTTTCACTTCACTTCATGATTATTGTTCCCTTTCACTGGCACCTTCACTGCCTCGTCTCTTCACTTAGCGCTTTGAATTTAAGCGACAACAGGATTTACAGATGGAGATTACGAATGTGTTACAGTGGGTGTGTCCATGCAGTCATTTAGCAGAGCAGAGGTCATCGTGCAGGCCCTAAAAACGGCGGCTCAGGAGTGACAATCTTATTACTTCAACAGAAGAAGGGAGGACAACCAGGATGAAGAAATTGGATGAACTGGATGGCAGAGTGAAGATTAAAAAAAAAAAAAAAACAGGCCAGAATAGACAATTGAACGTTGAATGAGATACAATCTCCACTGACTGTGTTTCACTAATTATCAATGTCAGTCATTTATCCCTCCGAGCATAACTGATTGTTTTTGCACCCTGTTATCAAGATGATGTGACAGGCACGATGCGAAGCTGAGTAAGTGGATCACTATTTTATGGTGCAGTTCTTTTAAACCTCAGCCAGTGCCACCGCTGAAAAGTGACTATTGATCGGTGGGGCCTTTTGCAGAAAAAGAACCTGCGTTAATCTCAGCGAAAGGGGTGAGGTAAATATAGAGGTGGGGGGGACGAGAGAGAGAGAGAGAGAGAGAGAGAGAGAGAGAGAGAGAGAGAGAGAGAGAGAGAGAGAGAAAGAGAGAGATCTAATAGGATTAGTCTGGCTCACACAAACCTCTGCAGCTGCACACGGATGCGTAAACACACACAGGGAACACAAAACGCCCCCAATAGGTTGTAGACTCCAGCCATTTTGTTCGCTGACAAACTCAAATATTGTGAGCGCGTAGAGGAGCTTGCACAGTCATAAATCACAAGTGAACAGTGACTATAGGAGCCTCTGACTAGAAGCGCGGCGGATGATGAGAAGTAATGGAGGCCGACTGCAGCATGCAGTCACCTGTGTGCTCGCAGCCATGCACCAGCAGGCACTAATTAAAAGAGATTCCTCTACCCCGTGCAGATCATACTGCCATTATCCCAACGGAGACGGTTTGATGGAGGGCCACCTTCAAATACCACAAAGAAAATATCAGCATGACTCGAGTGCATCAAATATTCTCACATCCCAAAAAAAAAAGCAGAATTTGCACACAACTGACACACATTAAGAAACGTATCTATGCTTTGATTTTCAAACAATGTGCATTAATTGAGCTTCATTAAAACAGTAGTGAGGAAAAAAAACGAAAGCATGGTTGTGTTAGATATTTAATACAAAAGGACATACAGTACATACATTCACTAGTGACAAAAGAACTTGAAGTAATGTTATACGTGGATAATAAATAAAGCAACTGAGCTGTCAAATTGAGCACCAGGTGTCAATCTATTTGATATCATACATGCATTTTGTTCTGCTACGTTACATGATCATTTTACAGTCATTGGTCTTTGAACCCATCACAGCAGAGGAAAACAACACCTGGTTGTGATAGTGGAAACTCCGAACAAACATGCTGGAGACAACTTGAATTGATCGACATCAATCAAGAGTTGGGCTGTACCGATCACAAGTTTTTGGCCGATCACCGATCCCCGATTTTCAGAAAACCTGATTTTTTTTTTTCAAACCCAACAGCATACGCCTTCAATGTTTCAATCTTGTTTTAATGTAAACCAGAGACAATAGTTGTGAAACAATACAAACGGGTTGTTTTATACTGCACATGAAGTCATTTCAAATAAAAATGAAAAGTCTATCAGTCATCTCACATCATGCAAAAAAGGACAGTGGCTGGCTTTTTCACACCTCTACAGCGGGAGATGAGATTGGTGGAGCAGATTGGCTAATCCCCTGCCCCCCAAAATTAAGGAAATAACCGCCAAACCCGAGAATATGGAATCTTTTTTGTCCCAACTCCGGTTTCAAATTAAAACTCAAAACATACTACAGATTTAGAGGATGACGTTATTGTTACCCATTTCAGTGTAATCTTCACTCAGTTCCAGAGAAACAAATATTTGAAAGATGGGTGTTTCGGTGATGAAACGTATATGACATCTTTCACTTAATTTTTGTGTTGGATTAAAAGAAACAAATAAAACAATAAGTCCCTTTTTCATTCTTTTAACTTTGGATTGCTAATTGAAAACGGAAAGAACGAAAGATACACCGATTTGAAGTGACTCTTCAAGAGTTGGTTCAAATGTAACTCGAACCTCCTCCTTTAAGAGAAAGATCGAGTGATGGTGGAAGTCTCACTGGATCTGTGTCCATCAAGCTAGTCTTTTCTACAATCCTCCCCACTATCGCAGATATGTTCTGCTGGAAAGTATGCCAACCTGCTCAGTGTGTGCAACAGAGTGCTCTCCGATGGCATCATAATTCATCCCGCGCACTCCAGTTCTCCAGTTCAGACTGTAGCACATCAGAGTTCTGTGCTTCGAGACTGAGTTCCACCTGCTCCTGCGTTTTCCTGGACTTGGCTCTGTCCCAGTCGGTCTTAGTTGTTTCATTGTTCCAGACAACTGAGGTCTCCGTGTCACTGATGTAGCCCGAGTCTCCCGTGTAATGGGTCGGATACACCAGAAGCGGCTCCGCAGAGAACGCACGGAGGTTCCGATCCTCAAAGTGCTCCATGTAGTCTAAACTAAAAAGGGGAAAAGATGACAACAAAAGCAGATTGACAAAGGTTCCAATGGACACACCTACAAAAAGTAGGGGGCGCTAGAAAACAAAAAGGTAGACCCGTGCCAAAGTGAAACGACTACAAATTACTTTGTAAAGTCAAGCCAAGCATTTTTTAAATGAACCGACAGGCGAGAGAAGTATGATACTCACACAGGATGTTTGTCAAACATGATAGGAAGGAACTCATCAACAGGAAGCATCTTTTTCAGAGGCTCAGCCTTGAGGAGCTTTTGGGCTCCTTGCAAGGACAGCATGTAGCCCAAAGTCCAGTATGAGTAGTCAGCCTCCACCAGATTGTGAACATTTGGTACCGACTTCTCTGGATGATCCACCTGCATTCGCTTCCGTCCAATGTAACTGCAGGAGCAAAGTGAGGATGACAACCATCGGGTCGATCACAGCAGCTCTTCACACCAGCAAGTTTCAGAGAAAACATTCAGATCGAAAAGAATTCTGTTATTTTTGTGCTGCCTGTGAATGTGAAAAGACTGAGTCACGGTGATTTCAGCGTCTGGTCACGGGTGTCGAGGAAACAGCAGATGACAGATGGAAGGATTTCTTTGTATCAGAGAGAAATAATCCTTTCTATTTTTAACGCTGACTTTTCATTGCATTGACTCACATGAGGTCCCAGTCAAGCTTGTGTGCCGTCACCTCCTGCAGCAACGCCTGCAGACGGCGTTTGAAGAACACCTCAAAGCGCAGGTCGTCCTCAATGACCAAGGAAGTGTGCAGGCCTCGATCCACGATCTGCACGCACGCACACACTCAACGTTGGACACTTCTCTTGTATTTTTATATCCAAGCTGGATGTAACAGTCACAGCAGGTAGGGCGTTTTAACCAAAATTCTCAGCTGTGAGATGATTTTTCCTGCACCTTACAGACTATGTCACTATATTGGTGAGAATAAAATGTTTCCCCAACTAGGAAAGCATTGGGGAAAAAAAACAAACCATTCTTTGCGACTGCTGATGCAAGATGTCGTAATAACTGTTAAATGAATGGACGTACAGAAGCCTCACCTCCTTCCAGATGTTGTAATGAGAGAGGAAACAACCCAGTTCACCCTTGGTGAGAGGTCGACCGTGATATGGGTCTTTGTACCCGGGCAGCATATTAATCCCCATGGACTCAATGTCACTCTTGTTCAGAGCCCTGATGAACAGAGACGAGATAAACAAGGAGCTTAGCAATCGGAATAACGCATCATACGGATGAGATTGCTGTAACGGCGAGTAAAGCGCTCGTAAACATTCGATACAACAGCATGAAATAATGAGACCCAATGGATGAAATGTCTTTCCAATTGATACTTGAGGATCTTATTTGACAGCAGGTTTACATAATATAGTTGCACATTTATACCCACTCTCATATTGTATGAGCAGCCCTTTTCTAATTTTAAATTTCTAATTCACGTCACGCTAATTTAGGCATTTGAAAACGCTCGTACGTCCACTCTCAGCCCAACTACAAACATGCCTGCCAAAATAACGACACAGGAGACGAAACGTACTTGCCATCCACAGCAGCAATAATTTTACAGCTGAGCTCCATTTCGTACAAAGTTCTGAGCATGCGCTCCCGCCGGTCAGCTCTCCGCACCAGATTTATCATAAACACCTGTGCGCACACAATTGCAAAACCTCACACTAGTGCACTAGTGGCCTGTGTGTTTATATGAGTGTGTGAGAAAGGCAAGACTGTACCTCATCAAAGCCAATCTTGCTCGGCTGTTTGGGAGGAAGGGTGAGGAAGCTGGAATGTTCCAGTGGAGGATTTTTCACTTTCAAAGAAGATGGCACAGGGTTACAAAGAGAATGTGCAATGAATCTGAGGCTCCCAAACTGCAGCCTGCAGCGCCAAATGCCGTGCCCAGTTCAAACTAAAGCAATCATTTTTCACGGCTTGTTTGTGTTCCTTCCTCTGTGGATGACTACATATCGTGTGGCATCTGAAAAATAATGACTTTGCAGTGTTTTGGTTACCAAAATGTTTTTTTTTCTCAGTAGGAGTGATAACTCTAGCAAAAACATTCACTGGTTGCTCAGAGGAACTCCATGCTTTCTGCCTAATGCATGACTGATTATTTTCTAGAACTGTCTGACAATGTTTGGAAACTGGAGAAAATCAAATGAAACCCGCTTTCCTGCGCTATACAATGTGTTGTGTTGCCTCTTCATATAAGCACGCGCCGTCCCGTTTTACAATTTGACGTTGAACCCACCCATGATCTCAAGATGAGTGTGCAAGAAGCTCTCTGCTTCATCCAACAAAGTAGCGTGGGAGCGCATAGGCAGAGGAAAGTATCCGTAGGTTTCTTTGTTGCACACGTACATCTGAACGTCTGACAACAGCAGAAGATGACAGTCGATGAAAAAAATAATAATAATAATAAATAAATCACACGTGTAACATTCACCCGCCAAGCCATTTCATCCATATTACCTGCCATGCGAGCGGAGTAGGCAAAGACGATGACATCATCGAGGGCCCAGCTGTACTCCGGGTGTGGCGGGTAAAACGCCAATTGACGAGAGGCTTGCTTCCGTAAGTCCACCAGGTACGTCGAGTGGACCATCGGTACGGCAAAACACCCAAGACGCTCCTGCTTTCTGATGGGTATGTAGGCTGGCGTTCGCTTGTAGTAGCCCTGCCGAGATGGTTGCCCTCATTCACCGATCATGACAAAGAAACTCTTTCTGCACATTTGATTGCACAGATTAAATATTACAGATTCTGGTATTGGTATAAATGCTAAGTGGCACATGCAATATATCGAGGAAAGTACATGATCAGAATCACGATTCATACATTTTTGTTTTTGTTTTTGTAGATGGTCACCATAATTTCCTTTGCTGCAGCTGAACATCTGTTTTGCAACTAGCGAGGAGATTCCAGTGTTTGGAATTCAGACTCACGGCCCGTGTCAAAGCATTTCTCCTTCCTGACGCGCAATATTGCTCAAGGGAGCCTTAAGTTGCGCATACATTGTGGACAAAAACGCTGACATGGATCGGGTGAAATCACCTCTCAGGGAGATAGCAATAGTGAGCATTTGCATGCAACATATGTATGATGCACTTTGATACACTTGGAAAATCCAATCCGATTGCATACAAGAGCTGAATCTTAAAGCATGCCTTGACAAACATTTTAATGCTCACTTCTCATCATCTGGAAAAGGAGACAGGATGTTCCATGATATTTCTATTCTCCTCCCCAAAGAGTACTGTTTGAACCAAGAGGAACAGTGCTTATAGTTGATTTTAAATTTCTACTCAACCATGTTCAAATGCAATATTTTGGTGACGCTCGGAAAAAAATAGACCGAGATAAATCGTTTCAAAACGTTTTCCACCATTAATGAGACCTGTAAGCTGTTCAAGTGCACTGATTTTTTTGTTTAAATTCCTCCTTTCAAGAGAAGTAAAAATAAACTGAGATAATACGGATGCAAAAGTGTGCACATCCTCTTACAACAGGAATGTGGCTGTGTTCACAATTGACAAGTTACATTTAAACTCAGGTTAAATGGAATCGGCACATACGTGCCACCATTTAAAGTGCCTTTGGTTAACCCCAAACAAATTTCAGTTAGACCAACATGTATTTCCTGACTTTTGTTTTGTTGTTTTTTGTTTCAGAGTAAATGACTGAATATTTCGTGCGAACACTGACTTGTATTTCCAACAGTTCACCGACCATTTCTTCTACC